TTATTGATGTCAAGCAGAAAACTTGCAAGTTTCAACGAATCTCATGTGGAGAAGTTAGCCCAATTGGACAACTCCAAAGTTGAAACCAACCAGAATGGCAACGAATGGCTTGACAAGTTCCCTGTAACGCAGCACACTGAAGCTTTGGATATTGAGGAAGGTCAGATAATAACCGAAGCAATAAATGTGAACCCAGTGAAAAAGATATGTGCATCTGCTGATGTGGGACAAATCAGTGATGTGAAGAAGTTGAATGGTGAAAAAGCAAAAAATGGATATGCGGTTGTTGAGAAAAATAACCCTCGGATTCTTGAGGTGATAGCAAAGATGGAAAAACGAAGAGAACGGTTTTAGGAGCCCATTACTCTAAGAAATGACGCAGACAGGGTTGTCAACCCTCCAGTTGATTCAGTTGTGGAAACAGCTCAGAATAAGCAACAACAAAGGCCAATGCGGAAGAGGAGATGGGGTGGAAGTTAGGTCCCAGAGAATGCAGGTGCATCTCATACCTCAGCCGAAGTGGTAACGGAATTGTGGTTTCAGGTTTGACTCAGAACAGGTTGAAAGGATTAGCACTAGGCTGTCTATTGTGGATAGCAAAACGAGATAAAAAGTGCCGTTCAGATAAATTATTTCTTCTGGATATTGAAGATAGAGTTGAATTTGAACATTTTTTAATTTCTCCTTCTGCTTGGAATAAGGTTAACTGTGCTAGTATATTCTTGGTGAAAGTTTATAAGTTAGTAAGGATTTTATAAATTTCCCTTTACCCACCACAGGTTTTGGCTGGCCACTCTGATCCTTTTATAAATCATAACTTAATAAGTTCTTAGGCTGCCTAATTATTTCAGGAGCAGTTTTACGGGCTACTGTCATAATCGAGACTGCTAGTTGGGCTTCTGTTGTACCTCATTTTCTAAATTTGTTATAGCACAATTTTCTCTTGCTGTTAGTATTGTCAGGGAACATATAAGCTTGATTGACGCTGTAGCTATTTTAGTCTTATTTTTGTGACAGTGACCTCTTACTAACAGTTGTATCTTGCATCATTATGGTACCTCGAAGACTTAGTTTGATATATGTTGGAACTGAATCTTTGTGGGTTGTTGATCTCCCATTCCCAACACAATAACCACCCACAATAATGTTAGGCATGAAATCTGTTGCTGCTAATGTAATTTTTCATCCATGTTTCTAGTCAGAATGGCAAACGCATACATGCATATTGTCATAGGTAAATCCCACAGTGCTCAAAAGGAGAGGGATGGCTCATCGATGGGGTAATTTATTTACTCAAAACTCTCCTTGAAGTTTACACTGATTATATCCCATGCCTCAAGGTTACCATATATAAACCACATAGGGTGTATGGTGAACTTGTAGTCAAATCATTCTTTGTTAGTTGACCAGTCGGGTTTTATAGATGTTATCTGGTGGTTTTCTTGCAATAAAAATGAAAAATCCAGACTTTGCCTTCATTGAACTTCTCTCTTCCACCGCTGGGGTGCGGATTAGGGGTGAAGGGTTGGTGTGGGGAACGAGATGGAAAGAGAAGATGAAGAGTTTACCGATCACCTAAGGTCGTGTATATGGGTTGTACTTGCATAGGAAAGGGTGCCCGGAGCAACACAAACGTGTTTGGCAAGTATGTCAAGATAGTTAGAGAGTGCATAACAGTGGATTATTACGAGTCACCCAATTTGCTGTCATATTTGCCAATGTACATGCAATTTTTATTTTTCCACATAATCATTCGAGCATAAGAACAATAAACTAGCTGACAACCCAACAACAACAGTACTTTGTTTCAAAGCACTAATATAATACATTAAAAACACATAATCAATAAACTGGCAAAGTACATGTTATATCACACAACATTGTTCGGAGTGCACTCATATAATACATCAAAAACATATAATCAGTAAACTGGCAAAGTACATCTTATGTCACGCGACATTGTTCGGAGTGTCTGGAGGTGTGACTGGTTTGACATAAACTCCAATGGAGTTTAGGGCATGCTCAGCAGTGCCATGAAATCCACCGAACCGATGACCCTCACCCTCATCTCCCTCTAGTGTCGGTGTGACTCATACTCTGTTCTCTTGCACATTCACGTACTCACGAAATAGTCATACGAGATAATAATAATAATACATCAATAAAGTCTATTAAGCTTTTGGTACCAAAGATATACTCGTAATACTAACATTACATAGTTTTACACCAACATACAACATCAAAAATAGGAACATCCCAAGCTATTTGAAGATTAATAATACTATGCTGACCAAATTTTAGAATTAAATTTGGAGTCCAAATGACATAACAACATATTATTTAGAATTTTTATCAAACCCGGCCCTCGGCACCAAATAAAAAGGACTAGCACTTTTGTCCTGGAACTTGCCGAGTGTTTTAATTGGCTTGAGGTAGACCCCAATGGAGCCTAGTCGGTCACGGTTGTCGATAGTAGTACCATGAAATCCACCGAATTGCCGTTCCGGTCCCAATTGAATCCGAAACTCTCTGTCTCCTTCGGTAGGGCAACCAAACGGCCCGCGCTTTGTTCGATTGGTACCAAATGTTAGTGAACTTATACCATCGCCAAAAGCGCCAAAAGTTCCAATGACCACACGACAGCTGACCCAGGTAAGATACTCCGATGGATAATCCAACCTTACCTGTTAGTAAATTCAATTGACCAATGGATAATCTAAAATTTTTTTGGTTTTTATTTTTTTTATTTTTTGAGGAAAAAACGAAAATCATTCATTGTGCATCACTAGATACATCATTGTAAAGAGGAGATAATAGAAATGACGGTATCTCCTCCTTCTACAGCATTAAAGTATTACAATTAATAGCAAATCTAGCTAAACTATGAACGACTTCATTTCTATTCGTGTATTCCAAGCCATTGAAATTTTATTTACTTAGCAAAGCAATTGGGACCGGATTTTGAGATTAATTTGAAAACCCGATCCCTTATAGTCGTTTTTAAATTAAGTTCACCATTAATCTGAGTAAATATTGAATACAACGGTGGTACCTTACATACACCGATTTACTTATTTATTTTGATATTATTTGTTGGTGATACCACATCAACGTTGACGTGTGGTATCACCGTCGTAATAAATATTTTATCAATTAATCTAACAATCACAATGCATTACCTTGTTAGATTTTCAAAGCAAATTTCCAGGAAACAGCATTCAAAAAGTTGAAAGAAAATTATATCTGCTCACCACGTCAAATGTGTGTCCAGAACTTTCGCCATATCTCTTAGACAATTCCAAAGTTCCATCCTCAGAATACTGGAATTGTATGGAATTGATTTTATCTGAACTATCTCACTATGTCCATTCTCATCCCAATCTGTGTGATTGTGAGGCAACTGCTTCCCCAGCCCCACGGGACCAATTTTGATCATCCTAGTGGCATCAATTTTCGGCGTAAATTCATGAACTTAGCAAATGAAAAATCATGCATATTGGTTCTTTAATACCACCATATTCAGAAGGAAACACTACTCACAGCTGCTCACTAGAAATGTATTATGAAAGAGAGGATTCATAGACGACACGAACATATATTTGAACAACAAATTATAAAACTTACAGATCTTTTGCTTCTATTAACCATTACCTGACTATGATTTGCACACTTTCTGAAGTTCTAGAGCTCAGCTTGTTTTTACAGAGGGCAGAGAGAAAGAGGGGCTGGGTGAAGGAACTTATGGGAGAGTGGAGAGAGAAAAGTTGGTAGTCACCAAGATGCTTTTTGGGTTCCTTTTTCTTTGTCGGTGTTTCTTTCTTCCTTTTTTTTTTTTTTTTCGATCATTGAAGAGGAAATAAATCTTAATAAAAAATATGACTTATAATTAAATTAACGGCAATGATCCATAAACAAGCTGCATGAAAAAACAATAATAAATAAAAACAGCACTAAGTGGGGTCTTCCCCTAAAAGCATTACTTTTTTCTCTTTTAAATTTATTTTTTATGGTCTTTTTAATAAGGAGGACAAAAAAATAGGAAATATGAAAAATAGAAATTGTACATTTTCTATCATTCAAAGAAGGAAAATAGAAATGATATACTTTCTTTCTTTTGTGTTTGGTAGGATGTATGAAAAATAAAAATATTTATTTTAAAAAAAAAAATATAAAATACATATTTTATAGTTATATTTATATATAAAGTTAATGTAAACATAATATATGTATATATCAAATAACATATATAGACAAATAAGATACATTTCAACATAAAAAATTAATTTTTTATCTATTTTCTTTTCAATTTTGAAAGAATTGATTTTCGTCCACTTTTACATCTAATTTTGTTATTAGATGGTTCAAAAGAATTGGAAAAAACCCACTGAACTAGACTGTTTTGTAACAAACCTGCGGAATCAGATGGTTTTGGCCAAATTGACCGGATCAATCTAAATGCTATAAAAAAGAGGTTTCAGGGCATTTTTGCCCAAATTTGATCCATTTTAGCCCGCTGCTCACGACCTCACCTCCTCATTGCCTCCGTTTTCGACTCCAACGACTCATGACTGAGTCACAGTAAGTTGAATAGATGCTAATTGATTAGTAAGTTGTAAGACGATGATACCATAAAAAAAATCATGGCAGACATCTGTCAAAATCTCACAATTAAAGCTGCGGGCCTAAACCACAAATTGTGAAGATTAGTGGGCCAAGCGGCACTTTCTGGCCCCACTTGATTCACATAAGAATCTCTTTTAACAAAGCATTTATCAGGACGAGGATAAGAAAGAAAAAGGAAACACCATGGCTCCTCGTTTCCCTATTGTCCAATGTTGAACATTACAGTGTTGTGCTTAACCATAAAAGGTAGTAATTTAAGTGATAACCTGTATAAACTATAATTTTAGACGTTCTAGATTAAATATTGGTAATTTTTTTTTGAGTTGCTAGACTATGAGGGATTCTCCGTGAATTCTTTAATTTTGGTGTGAATAACTTATTTTTAATTAAGTCAAAGAAAGAATTAATCGAGATACACATAATTTAGTTTGAACTCTCTTGACCGTTGAACAAAAAAAAAATACCGTTTGTTTATCAAATCGATATCAATTGTTAGATTCATGGGTTCCACAATTTTATTTATTTATTGAAATCTACTAATTCAACCATCATTTCAGTTAATAAACGATATTTACCTCCATTTTCTCTCTCTCTCTCTCTTTCACTAATTTTTTTAAAAAAATAATACAAAAAGAATTAAAAATAATATTTAAAGGAAGTAGTTAAAAATACAAAAAAATCTATTGGAACGTGTATTAAAAAAATGAGTAGCTAAAATAGAAAGTATTTCTTCTTGAATAGCTAATCAATCTTTTATTATTGAAGATCCTCTAACATAACAACCAAACTCAACAAAAATAAAAAATTGAAAAGCTATTGCTTAGTAACCAAGCACCTTTTTTTCACTACTGCACAACGGATGCTTGTGACTGGTTGCTTTTAAAACGATTAAAATTGAAAAGCTATTGCTTATTAACCAAGCACCTTTTTTCATTGCTATACATACAATGGGTGATTGTGACCGGTTGCTTTTAAAACGATTATAAAGAAGGGATAGTACTAATCCCTTCCGATACATTTTCTCTAAAAATCTATCTCTTCTTGACAGATCATCCATTATTAATGAGTCAGTGACTCACTTATATACAATGAGTCTCATTTGAATGCATGATGAACCATCTGTCAAAAAAGAATCGAAAAAAAAATGTATTAGATGAAATCTCATTAAAAATACCAAGAAAACTGGACTCATAGCTCTATCTCATACATGCGGGCTACAGGGAGAGAGAGCATACGAGGAAGTGAGCAACAAAGTTATGCCAGGTTTTATGGCCACTGTTTTATAAACCGAAATTCTTGTGGACTGCCCTTGTCTAGGAAAGACAACCAAGAAAATTAACAACATACTATGATGGATAAACTGCAGGTGCAGAGCTAGGATCTCCCAACTCAGAGGTTGGAAAAAAATAATAAAGTAAAGTAACAGGGGCAGTATTGAAATTATACAAAACTGGAGAAGGCTAACCTAGAACTTCTTTTACAATAAATAAATAAATAAATAACACAGAGCTTAGAATGCCAAAAATAATTAGAGTCGTGTTATTCCTGAATATCCATCCCATAAAGCGAGGGGCTATCAATATCCTGATCAGTTATTTTGATTTCGACTTATCATTTGAGCCACAAATTTGATCGTTCATTTGGTCCGCTTAGAATTTCTGAAATAATTATAGAAAACTTAGGGGGCCGTGGCCCTTTGTGATATGCTGTGTTTATTGTATGCACAAATTATGGAATTTTTTTTCTATGATGTTTTTATAATTTTTTGTTACATAAAAAAAATAAGACTACAGTTGAAAGAAAAACATGGTTAAGCATTCATTTAAGGCTGTCGTGATACTATATGGAATTACTAGTAATTGTACGTGTCTGAAGTCATTTTATAACAAAAAAAAATCGCAAGACATTACTAGTGCATGAATGATCAAAAATAAAAAACCCCAACTGTGCATGAAGTAGAGTGACAACTGAATCATATCATATCATATTGTGTTGCGTTATTTCAAGTTCATGTCAAAAATTCATCAGTCTTAACACAGTTTGCTTAGTTAATCATGTCGAATGATATAATACTAACATAACTCGTTCAAAACTCGAAAATGACCTACATAACACATTTAAATTAAGAGGTCATGTCCGAGTTGACACTATATGTTACCAACCCATTTAATAGTATATGGATTATGTTTAGGTTGATACAACTCACATAACATGATTACCATAACTAAAACAATCTGCTGAACTATTTACAACATAAAATCTTACTTTTAACCCAATCCCCAGTCAACATCCATAAAAAGTAAAATACAGACCACAACCATTCTAGCCAATATTTGAAAAAATTAAGAAAATCATATTACATAGGATTACCCCAAATAACATAACACGACAAATTAATTCATAATCCTAACCGATATATTCTGCTATCATTGGTATCTTTTTCTTCATCGCCAGTCATGTGAATTCTCTAACTCATCATTCTTCGTCCTAGAGTTGTCAAATGCAAATTGTCAAAATTAGAATAAAGAACAAACAAAAAATTGTGATAAGTGCCCAAGGAAGTCAAATGTGATTGAATCTCAAAAATTGTTTAATAAACTACTGAGTGAAGACAAAAAATTTCATTTCATGATACTATGTTTCTCAAAGCCCAAGCAAATTCTTAGCTCAACTGCTTTTGTTATCACCGCTTAAAAAAAGCATTTATCTACAGAATGTCAAACTCAATTTACTTTGAAAAAGAAAAAAAATACATGCAACAAATAGGTTATTCCTGAAATAGAGAGAAAGCAACCAACAAACAATGAATATAAAAACTAAATGACACATAACATGAAGAAAATCTTATACCTTGCACTCGGCCATGGATGGTATACCCTTTGTTGATACTATAAAGACATTTTGAATTGTTGGAATTCCATGATATTGCAGTAGAACCATCAGAACTTATTTTTTCATCCAATGCACTTGGAATCCACAAAATAGAAACTAAATTTACAACATGATGTTAATGTCATTACAGAGGGGATATCAACCAAGATACTGCAATTATGAGCAGTATACTAAAAAAGTCAACTTTCCACTACCCTAAATTATTCCCAAGGACACATAACTATGAACTATACAATTTGTAAGTTTGGGAATTGGGCGTCATAAAGACATTACTGGTCGA